TGGAGAGTGAGTGTTTGGCTTTGGTAGATTTCTCCAAATGTGGATTGTTCTTGCAAGAATTTAAGACTGTATTTTTAATCTTGGGTGGGACATGTGTAGTTAGTTTGGCGAATGTTTTACATGCCAGGACAACCACTAACATCCTGGTGGTTAGGAACTCTCCTTCCAAGCTAATCAACTAATGCACCTGACTTCTCTGTTACTCTAGTAGAATCTGACCTGCCACTGCACTGTGCCACAAATGAGCTAAAATATAATTATTTGGAATTTTCAATAGATTGTAGTTAAGCTTAAAATTAAAATAAATGCAAGTAAAAATGTCAAAATTTGGCCAATCTGATTTTTGCATGACAGTAATATGAGTTTTATGAAAATCAGTGAAACTGGAAGAAAGTCATTTCTCTCATTTTCAGTGTTTCAAAGAGATTTGGACTGGAATCACAGAAGATTATTCATGACTAAAGCATTTTTGTGGGAGATTTTTCAGATCTTAAGAAAATCAAGATTGACATTTTTCTTTTCCAGAATGTGTTTGACTGTAACCTTGAAGACATACTAGTTGAACTACAGTTGGAACTCATTGATTTGCAAACAAGTGACTTGTTGAAAGAGAACTTCCTGAATTTTATCATTGCTTACCTAATGATGAGTTTTCAAAGTTGAAGAAATTTGCCTCTGGTCTGTCATCAGTGTTTGGGATAACATATGTCTGTGAGCAAACATTTTCTCTGTTGGATGCAGTAATTCCAAAGCAAATATCTTAAAAGGGAAACACCAGTTTCACAAATCTCACTAGCCTTTTTTGCTGCTTAGTTTGTGAGATTTGTGCACAGTATTGAACAAAATTGTTATCTGGCCCTCACTCGTCATTATCTCAGTTATCCGGCCCTCTGTGAAAAAGTTTACTGAGCCCTGCTCTAGTGTGACACTGAGAGTAATCTATTTTAGTGTCATCTGTAGCGAGCCCAGTAGATATTTGGGGGTCATCACAGATGAACTTCTTAGAACAAAGATTCCTTATAGACATGAAATTTGATTCTGACTGTCTGGTTATTTCTGAATATGTATCACAGAAATACATTTTAAATAATTAAAAGAATGTAACTGTTTCATATTCAACTAAGAATACCAATTCTTAGGGATTATATAAAAAGTGGATAGTGTTTATTATTTACTAATGAAGAAACAATTATTGTCACAATGCAAAAAAAAAGAACCTAAAAGTAACATTTACTGTTGTAAGTTTCATAATTTAGTAAGCTAAAAATAATCTTAGTTTGACTTGGAAGGAATTCCAGTCATATCTTGCCACTGCTGAGTAACCAAGTCAACTGACATGGGTCATGTAGTCATTAAAATTTTAATAAAGCCTTAAAAATTGAGATTTAAAGGAGATATTTTGAAGTATAGAAGATTATTCACCTCTATGAAATCAAATAAGAATTTTAACTTGTTACACAGAATCAGTCTATAGTTACACAGGATTGCATTTAGTTTTCTTCCAATGTGAAACAATGCTTTTGAAATTAATGTGTAAATAGCATTTCCTCTTATAAGACAAGATAAATTGAAGGAATGCACAAGGAGAAAATCTGGGTACAGTTTATGAGAATTTGATTTGAGAGAGAAAGATGAAAAGTGTGATGACAAAACATGGATAGGATCTTACAGGTTTCATTTGGCTGATTACCTGTCAAATTTAGCTCATCATCAATGTATTGATGACATAAAAAAAATAACAACTTTTATTCATTTTCATGAAGTACTGCTTCAGCTCTCAAGCATCATCATGGAATGAGTCAGTGTCCATTTGAAAGAGGAGTTTTCTAAATTTTAAATGGCTGCCACAGGGATACTGTAGTTATGTTGTATCTCCAGCAATGTTCAGTTGTTTGTTTACCCCCAGAACAGCAAAAGGCATTCTACGTTCTCAAAAACAAATACAGTCGTCATGGTGCAGCATGCTTTTTGAAGGCAATTCGACATTGATCCGCCCCCCCCCCCTCTTAAGAACATTTGGTGGTGGTTTAAACAGTTTCAAGAGAGTGGGCATCTGTGTAAAGGAAAAAGTCTAAGATAACCATAAACTTTGGAACAAGTGATGAGAATCTGTGCTGCATTTGAGGAGAGTCCATACAACTTCACAAATCGAGCTAGCCATGAGCTTGCGGTCTCTCAATTCACTCTCTGGCATGTACTAAGTAGATGCCTACATTTGAAACCTTACTGACTATATCTCGTTCAGGAACTTACCAAGACCTTACTCTTTGTGTTTGGCCTGCGAGATTCCCAGACCCGTGTGTGATTTTTTTCTTGTGGGGATACATAAAGATTGATTTTATGTTTCACTGCTACCCATGATGACCATAAACATCAAATAACAACAGCGATCAATACAGCGGATTCTGATATGCTGATATGTGTCTGGGAGGAATTCTCTTATTACACTGATGTTGCCCATGTTGCAGGTGTAGCTGACATTAACACTTGTAAGACAGGAAATGACTTGTAAGGCTTGGTTGTAGTTTTCTATTGATTTTCCTTATTAATGAAATTGATTCATTCTTTTTTAATGTATTCAACCCTGTATTAATGCCAGCAATTTAAATAACTTTTCAATTTTTTTTTTTTTTTGCCTCAAAAATTTGTGAACTACTTAAATGTTGACTTAACTTTAGATTTGGGGATTTGATAGGGCAAAAACTTGTCCAGTCATTTTTTTTCTCTCTCTTCTGCAATGACCACAAAGTTTCTCTTAGTAATACTCAAGAACACAAGTCTTGTACATGTCAAACCAAAAGTTATCAAATATTTTATACATTACGTACATCAATAAGTCCATTGACTGGGGATGGGGGCATTTTCAACAATTCAGTGGTGAAAATTGATCAATCAAACATGAAATTTTAAAAGCAAAATGTTAATACAACAGCTTGCAAAAATATTCACATGTAGCTTGGGAAGAAGTTCATATTTCATGTGGAAAACAATCCCAAACACATATCTGGTTCAACTCAAGAATGGTCCCAGAAAAAGTAAAGTGAAAGTTTTAAACTGGCCAGGTCAGAGTCTAGATTTGAATTCTTAAAGGAATTTTGTAGATATATGAAAATTATGAAAGGTTACCAACAAAGCTGAATTAAGTGGAGCAGTACTGCAAAGAGAGTAAAATAAACAGTCCAGGTAACATTACACAAAACATCACAGGCGATCCAAAACAATTGGAAGCAGCACAAGAAGCTGCTATTAAGTACTGACTGTACTGTATGAACAAGGTGAGAATTTTCATAAATTTGATCTGTTGACTAAAGTTTGTAATTATTCTGACTTCTGAACTAATCTTAGTATACAATTTTGTAGACACTTTATCAGATCATTTAATAAAATAGTAACTTTGACAAAAATATATTTTTCATGTAGTGTGAATACTTTTTCAATCCTCTGTAATTATGTTTTATGCTAGGGATTTATTAATTCACCCTTGTAAAGATCTGTCACATCACTCAACAAATTATTCAGCATAAAAGAGTCATGCAAGCATAGAAAGTAAAAATGAAAAACAGTCAACAGAAATAAAAGAAATATTTAATGCCTTGGTCCATACAAAGTTGATT